CTCAAGGTGTTTACGCTGCAAGAGGTGACGGGTTGTCCATTCATTCTTTAACTGTAAATTCTCCTTCAAGGCCCGTGTTCCTTAAGGAGAAGGAGGGTCCTCTCCTTGGGCTCTTGGTGGTGTTCTTCTGGGATACATAGGAGGCAATTAGACCTTAAAGTATCTTGTAAATGAGGCCTTGGAAGGCAAGCAGGAGAATTTGAGAAGGGAAACCTTTGGCAAGGCACAGTGAAAATGTTTTTTACTAGTTGGCTGTGGGTGGAGATTTGAGATAATTGCAATAAGGATATATTTATAGAGTGGCCAATTCCTCCCCTCCCAACTTTTAAAAAGGAGTAATTATTTGTCCCTTTAACTTTCTCTGCATTCATTTGGACTACAGGATGTATTGTCATTTGTTCCCATTTTTAAATCAATTACCTGGATCAAATTGTCATTAAACATGATTGGCTGGATCAGTCTTCTAGTCTGCAGGTCACCGTTGTACCTTGTACCGTTTGTATAATAAGCTGGCTACCGCTCCTAATTCCAGGCCTTAGGAAGTTTTTCACACACAGCAAAGAGAACAGCACCACCCACCCCCGATCCCCGCATTTTAAAATTGGGACCATTCAATATAATGTTTCTTGCCTGTGGTGAACCTCAAATCTCTGAAACAAGAAAGGTGATGAAAAGAGTTTCCACCTCCACTACTGAAGAGATTAAGGTCAGAATTACCCTCCTCCTTCCATCAGCCTCCCACACCCCCAGAGTCCTTCACATAATGAGACTATTATAATGAAATTGGTGCCTAAGATAGAGATGAATATTTTAGTAGAAAGGATAGTCGTGAGGTCTGAGAAACATCATATCCTCAGTGCTTCTGTTAATTTGGGGAGAAATCAGAGTTAAGGGCGGGGCACCTTGTTTTCATTTGTTCCAACTTTTTTTTTCTTTTTCTTTTTTATTTTCATTTTTTTTATATCAGAAGCCTCTCATTGGTCTAAAATGATACCAAATGAAAGATTGAAAGGGAAGGTCGGGGAGCTGATTGTAGAACGCACCTCTCTTTTGCAGAGGAGAGATGTTCTTCATAGCCTGGAGAATCGGGGGCAGGCCACCATATTGTTTTATTATCTGGTTTCATGCTAACACTTAGCTCCTTGTAGTTGGTTGTTGAGGATCTGTGCAGGTCTTTTCTCTCTGCAGACCCGTTTTACGGTATAAAAGGCAGGAATGCATGCATCATCTACTTCAGAAGCTTGTTTCTAAGCTGCTGGGGTGGAGGCAGTGTGTTTATGTGCACGCATGCTGTAGGCACCATGCTATGCAAAAGAGCTCAAAAAATTAAATTCCTGCTTCCTATCCAGCTAAGACTTTGTGTCATTTGACTGTTATCTCCTGATTTCCCCCACCTGGGAGTTCTGTTGGTGTAGATTCCACATGGGAGAACACTTATGTTTGCCTTTCTGCTTTTTCTTATTTTATATCACGTCATGTTCTCCATCCATGTTGTTGCAAATGACAGAATTTCTTCCTTTGTTTAAGTTGAATGATAGCCCATTGTGTGTGTAACACACCTGTTCTCCATCCATTGGTCTGCTGATGGACGCTGAGGCTGATTCCCTAACTTGGCTGTTGTGAACAGCGCTGCATTTAACACCGGAGTACAGACGTCTCTTTGCCATAATTCACGTCCCTCGGGTAAACCCCGAGAAGTGGTATTGCTGGGCCACAGGGTATTCTGATTTTAGTATTGTGAGGAAACTTCATGTTGTTTTCAATAATAGTAGTAGTAATTTAAGGTAAATTTAACTTCGAAAAATAACACTTTATTTAGGTTTTTAAGTGTTTTGTTTAATTACATGTAGTGCTCTGTTACAGCATTCACTTTCTGCTTATTTAATGATGCCTCCCTTTCTTGGGGAACCTTGTTGTGAATTTTTGCTGCTGCCTCGTCCTCATCTTCTTCCTCTCCCACCGTCACCTCCCCCCCCGCCCCCCGGCTCTCATCCCTTCCTCCAGTGCCTGCCATCTATAGGTAATATTTAGACACTAAAAAATGACTTCACGTTTACACTGTTTTAGTTTTTTTGCAGCGTATTCCACACCTAGATTTTGATATGTAACACTCTCTTCTTTGGTTTCTAAAATGCTTCTGATTTCTGCTTAACTCAAAAATTGTTTAGGGATGTGTGTATTTATGGTGCATAATATCTATATATGTGGCAATTAAACATAAACACATCCCTATAATTTAGATATTATAGTGCATAATTATAATTATGCATAATATAATATCTGTATTCATGGAAATTAAATGTGTTAAGCACTATAATATCGAATGGCACTGTGTGCCGTTAATTTTTAAGTTTCCTAGTTGTGGTAAGTGAGTGTGACTATTATGTTTTCTGCTTTTAGAAAATGCTGGGATTTCCCCTGTGCTTAATCATGATCAGATTTTGAGATTGTCTCATGCATGTGGGTAGTTGGGACATAAAGGAGAGAAAAAAGAAGACAGGCACATTTAGAACGTGGATTAAGGCTC